TCTGAATTCCATCGCTGTTTGCCCTGATGCCATGCCTCCTGTAGGATGCTCTCAGCCAATGGTTGAGTCTGGCAAGGATATGAAAGCAGACCTGCTCCTGGGAGCCATGATCTCCTCCTAGGAGGAACTTGGGCTGGAGGAGTCCCTGATAGCCTTCATGTACCTTCCATAGAGGAAGGCATATAGTATGCAGGTATTAATGGGAGATGAGCATGAGAGGCAGTAGAGGATAAAACGTTCTAGCGTAAGAAGGAAAATAAAACTGTGTCCTATTTTTAGTTCCCTTACATTTCCTATACTTCTTTTTGATATGGGCACAGTTAGTATGTGTCTGAGGGGCTAAATTCAATTGAATTGAATGATTATCAATTGTTTCCATTATTTATAATAATTGGAACTGGTCTCTAATTGCAATTTGATGGACTCGTGTTTCATTAAAAAAAACTTTTCAGCATTTGACATAATAACTCATTCACTCCTCCTTAACACATCTTATTCATGTGGCTTCCAGTAGAGTACATGCCACTGGATTTTCTCCAACCTTACGGATAATTCTTCTCAGTCTCCATGGCTGGTTTCACCTCTTCTTTCTGACTCACAATCTAGGATGGTCCCAGGACACAGTCCTTGCCTCATCTCTAACTACACTAATTTCATTGGTGATTTCAATCAATTTCAAGATTTAAATATAATGTCCAAGCCAAGAATCCCCCCAAAATACTTCCATCCCAGACCTCTTTTCTAAACTCCAGATTCATAATAAAGAAAATAATAAAAATCTGAAGCTGAACATGTCCAAAATTGAACTTCTGCTCTTTCTGCAGCCTTCCTGTCCTAGTTAATGGTAGGTCTCCCTTCCACTTCTTCAGCCAAAGACCGCAGAGTTTTTTTGATTTCATCTCTTTCTATCCTGTTCCACATGCAACCATCAAGAATATCCGTAGGTGCCACCTCCAAAATGTGTTCCAAGTTTGGAGATTTCATGCCACCGACCCTATGGCCACCCTGGTCCAAGCTACCATCATCTCTCTCCTAGAAAATCTACAAAAGAGAACCTTGCTTCATTTGACAGTCTCTCCTCAGCTCTCAGAGCAATACTTACAGAACATGAGTCAGATCACGTCACCCCTCTGTTCAAAACCCCCAGTGCTTCTCCCCTGCACTTACAGAAGAAGTCAGAGTCCCTGTAATAGCCCACCAAATCCCAGGCAATCTGCCTGGAGAGCCCCCTGCCTTTCTCCCTGCCCACCTACTCTTAAACACATCAGGCCTCTCCTCAAGTCCTAGCTCCATTTCGATGCTCTTCCCCATGTATTGGGTGGCTCACCTCCTCTTTGTATTTGCTCAAACCCTTTTTTGTAAGACTTACCTTGACCACTTTTTTCAGTGCCACAAAGTGGTCCCCACTTCTCCAGCCCTCATACTCCCTCCACACTGCTCCACATCTTCTTTTTCTCATAGCACCTTCTACTTTACTTTATAATTTAATCAATTAATATGTTTATTGATGATAGTTTGTCTGCACTCCTAGAATATAAGATCCTTGAGAGCACTGATTTTGCTCACTGATACTTCCCAAATGCTAGAGCAGTGTGTGGAATGAATGGCCAAACAAAACATTTTGGTGGCAGAAATGACTCTGGTTAAAGAGGAAGTTAATTAATGAAATCTCCTTTCTTATCTTAATATTAGGGCTGGTACTTTTTTAAAATCATTATCATTTCATTTTTGTCATTCATTCATCAGTAATAGGAAAAAAATAGACACCCACTCTGGGTCCAACAATAGATGTTGAAGGAAATACAACAGAGTATGTGGCATAGTGATTGCCTTTAAGGAGCTTGAGTAGCAGAGGTGAGCTGCACAGTTGACAGATGTGAAAGAAGAGATAATAAGACACAACAGTACATCAGGGATCAACGTAAGAGATACCATGTTATTGCTTATTGGATTTTACTTATAAATTAATTCTTAACAAAAAGGATTTGAGGAGCTTAAGCAATGGTCTACTCCATAAGATGAACAGGAAATCAGAACAAAGGCAAATGGAAGAAACAAATATGCTCCTTCTAAGAGTTCATACCAAGCATTCATACAGTCGCAGGTTTGGCCATGAGAGCTGACTCTGAGCATCCCGACTCCCAGGGAAGGGGAGCACGGCGTACTCTAGGCTTTCATTATCAGAGAGCAAGTACACGCAGTACAGTCAACAAATGCTAGGAGTATGGCTGGTCCCATTCTGTGTTTTGGGAGGGGAATATATGGCTATGATCCCCTGAGGTCTCTTCTAGCTTTAAGATTTTAGATTCTTGTCAGGGTTCCTTTCAATCTAGATTTTGTCATAGCCAGTATATATTTCCACCCTTCATGGGACACCCCGTCTACTTAATGAGCAAAATGTCAAAAGGGAACTTTCCTGCCTTCACATGATAAAAACTAATTTCTGCTCTCATCAGACCTGACCTTCTGAGCTAGTTGTACTCTCAAGGTTACATGAAAAAAATTTTTATCTCAATTTCTTTGACTTTGCTTCGGGCCATCATGTGACTCACCTGAGGTAACAGCACCTTCTCATCTAGTAACAACCATGACTAGAGATTTCTTTTCTTTAGGGAATTCTGTAGAAGTGTATGTTGAAGAAGGGGGACATATTTTTCTTTTGTGATTTAATATAAATAGTTATTAATTTCCAGAAAATTATATACAATATAAAAGAATGAGTGGGGCATCGTGCTAATTACTTCCATATGTGCTAACTCATCTTATTCTCGAATATTTTTATCCTGTGCTTTAAAGATGAGAGATACCATGGCTCAGAGAGATAAAGTAACACGTCTGACAATACGTGGAAGAGCTAAGACGTAAGCCAAGTATGACTCAAAACCCTTTCCGTTTCCTTTCCATTACATCATGCAGCCAATAGATTTTAAGTGAGTTGAGTTCATCTTACATGTGAACGGCCTCATTATCAATGAGATCAATAATTTTTTTTTCTCAGCATTCTGAAAGTTTTAGAATGTTCTCACCTGTCTCCCAAAATAGGTACACATCTTACATTAAATTCACAATTTGGATACTATGACCTGAAAACACTGAAAAGTTTTCAGTATGTAACTGAGCTCGTGCCATATGCTTTCTGAGAAGGTGAATGTGAGCGATCCAAAATGTGGACATGAAAGTATGAAGAAGGATTTTATTTTCAATCCCTTTTGGGACACTGTATGCCAGGCATTGTTCTAAGTGTTTTATACTCACTATTGTATTAATAATGTTTGCATTTGCATTTCATAAAGTAGAAACTGAAGCTCAGGGAGGTTAAATAATTTGCCCAGGGTCACCCACCCAATGTATACTACAACCACAGCTGAAGGGAAAAACCCCTCTCCCTCTTCTGATCTTAACATAAGTTTATCTGAGGCTGGTCTATGACACGTCACTTCATACATGACTACTAGAGTTATTATAGTTACTTCTAATATTGGCTATTCTGCTTTAGTAACCCTTAATGGCTGGCTCCATGTATCACTCATAACTCTTAGCTAGAGTTACATGTGATGGAACAGAATGAATGTGTGTTAAATGCCTCCATTAGTCGGTGGTTGGCTGAATATACCATTCTGTATATTTAGCAGAGGATTATACTGAATTTGGAGTCTCACCAGGTATGTGACAGTGGGCAGTCGAAGTTTGACTTTCCCACATCCTTTAGATGTTGAGCATGAATTCCTCATGCTTAGCATTGTTAAAAACACAGCTGTCCACTCATACTACCTTTGCTCTGTTGAATAGAACAAATGGATATGTCTTCAGACCTTGATTGATCATTTCCACTATGACCAGGACTATCTTTCTTATATTTTATATGATATAAAGTTAAATGTTATATCTACGTATAATTGCTTATAATTCACCTTTATATACAGATGCCTTACTTATTCTGAATTCCCAAAAAAACATCCTACATAAAACAATCACCAATTTCTAGACCCTTGATAATAATTTTTCAAGAGAGTGATAAAAACGTAATTTTTCAAGCAAATTAAAGCCAGATTCTGCATAGAATGAAAGAAAATATCAAATGTGAGAACTATGTATGTTCTAGTCAAAGACTAAATATCTATTAGCTCATATTTATTAGAAGGACGCAGTACTAATAATTCTGCAGGCTAGAATTCTACTTCAACTTTACCTAAAAGAGAAATACTAATTATTTTAAGGAAGATGCCTATCCTTGATCATATGGGTGAATACCTGTTAGTTAGTTAGTTAGTTTGTTTGTTTAGTGAATCTGGACTTAGTCTTTGGCCACAACACATATCTGAAGTTTGAGACTGGCCTTTCTTGTGGCTAACAGAACCAGTCTCCCTTCTTTCTGGTTGGCTAGTCAAGTCAATAGTTTGTCTACTATCTGTTTTAGGGGAATTAGTTTCTATAACTCAAAATTAAAGTAGTCTAACTGGGCTTCCCATTACATTTAAAAAATCAACTATAGTTAAACCTGGCATTTTGTAAATACAACTCTTTTAAACAAAATAAAATATGCTTTAGTCTCTCCTTAAAAGGAGCCAACAATTTGGCAGCTTCCCAATTCTCTTCCATCTGTAGCTTCTCCTCGATAACCGGTCCATGAAGCAGAGGGAAAGGACTCCTCCGGAACAGTGCAAAGCAGCAGCCAATGCAAAGCTGCCCTCGTTGCCTGGAAGTACTATTTTTATGTTTTGTTTTGCTTTGTTTTTCCCAATGCTTTTTCTAGTGCGTTTCTAGACTATGTAGATGGAAGTAAGAATAACAAGTATGGTGATAAGTATGGAGTTAACAATATAAAAATAACTTCTTTATTCACTTCATATATTATGTAGAAGATAAATCATTAAAAGTTAAAAGCATAATAATTTCAGTTTCTAATTCCTTAAACATGAAAGGTAGAAGGTAGACTATGATAATTATTTAGAACGTTTGCTGTGAAAATGTTATTAGAGTCACTCATAATTTTCATGGCTTTATTTTTCCAATTTCTTTAAAGTTACATGAACTTCTAGGTTTATTTCACATATTTCTCATTTTATATATACCAAAGGTGATCACGATTGAGAACCTAAGAGATTTGTTATTTACATAAGCACGAGGAAGGATGTAGGAAGATAAAAATCCCCCAATATTTATAATTCCAAAACAACATCACCATCTTCCTCTGCCCAATAATCTTTTTCAATTTCTGTTGTTCCATCATACAAAATTCATTCAGTTTAAAGCTAAGAATGGGAAAGCATAGGCACTTCTCAGAGTGATAACATTTTAGGCTTAACATTATAAACTGTGGTTTATAACATCATCTCTTTGGAGGCCAGGACCGGGCTGTGTTAAGACAGCAGAGAAGGCACAAACGCACACACTCTACTGCTGGGAGAGGGCACGCTGACCAAGGAAATAGACCAGGAACAGAAGGTTCTGGGCAGAGGAAAATTCCACAGGTTTTACGCTTTTACCAGAGCTGGTTCCACTCACCCAACCCCAGAGCACTCAGGCACATCGTTGTATGCTCCCCTGGTCTGCATTTTTTAACACACGATCTCCTAAATATTTTAGTTGCCGTGTAATGTTTTCCCTCGTACTGTTTCACCCTGCCCTCAAACTGATTGATCTATTTTGTCTCATTCTTGGGAGTTTAGCCAGGAATATTTTCAGAGAAAAGAAAATGAACTTACCTGATGTTTCTGTTGCTGTAATTGAACTCGGAGTCCCAGCTTTAGAGGAAAGAAAAGAAAAATTGCTAAAATTAAATGTTGCATATCGGATCTCCTCTCACAATTGTTTCAGGTGGCAAAGGGATATAGATCTTAGCTTGCTTCTGATTTTCTTTTCCTCAACTCATAAAATCACAAGGCTTGCTGATTAGAAGAAACTTCAGAGCAGGGGTCAGCCAACTGTTTCTTAAAGGGCCAAATAGTATTTTAATCTTTGGGAGCCATAAGCCTCTGTAGCAATGACTCAACCTTGCCATTGTGGTGTGAATGCAGTCATACATAATACCTAAAGAATATGGCTATGTTCTGGTTAAACTTTACTTAGAAAAATAGGTGGGGGCTAGATTCAGCCTGTGAGCCACCGTTTGCTGAATCCTGCTTTACCCAACATCTTGAATGCTTCAAGGTAACCCAGACAATGACAGAACTATTGGTAGGTACTTTGTGAACAACACTACGGTGTGTCTTACTCCTCCTAAAAGATATGATGTACCTCCTGCTCAGAAGAATATTGAGAAAGGTTCAGATACCTTTGACACTTAAGGAATTCCTTTAAATTTAATCTAGTCCAGAAGAACTTTCTACAAGTAAAATCACTTGAGAGAATTATAATCAAAATCACTTCAACCACTTTGAGTGCTTATACCATGAACCAAGATTTGCCACACGAAAAAATAAAGAAAAAAATGGAAACAGATAGAAGCCCAATGATGATAGTTTTAAACTTCCATTTGCTTCCTCTGTATCTTCACTTGACTGCCTTAGCAGCATCTCAGATTTGGCATGTCCGAAACAGAACTCCTGACTGGTACCTCAAAACCACCTCCTCCCTCACCTTGGATGCAAGCGTGGTACCAGCGTCTCCCAGGTGCACAAGCCAAAAGGTAGTTGCCTTTCCTGATTCTCTTCTTTTTCTCACTCTTATTAGCTCTAGCTACAAAATATATCCCAAATCTGTCTCACTATTTCATCAACTACCGTTCACCTAGCACCTGTGTCTCTTCGCTTGGTACCTACAACAGTCACCTAGAAAAACCTTTTAACACGTAAACTCAGCTGCTCCAGTGGTTGCTGATGCTTCTCACCACAGCTGGCACGTCTTCACAGGACATGGCCTCCGCCTCGCTCCTCCACCACCTCCAGCCATTTCGCCCTGCTTGGCCTTTCTGTGGTAGATGAACGTCCCGGGGCTCCTCCTGCCCCCGGTTTCTCTGCTGGCTCTTCCCGGGCCTCAGTGCTGCCTGTCAGGCCCCTCCCGCCTTTTGTGAGCAGCCCTCAGAGGGGCCTTCTCCAACCGCCTCATCTGAAGTTGGCCCTCATCTCCCTCCACACTAGTAGGCCACTCTGCTTCATTCGCTCAACAGTACTTTTATCACTCCGGTGGCGTTTCTTTTTTTAAAACATGTTTGTTGCCAGAATGTAACTCCAGGAGGACAGAGATTTCGTGTTTTATTCAGCTGCAATTGCAGTGCCTCACGTCAGGTCGCTAGTGAAACACTGGGAATGAAAGAATACCAATAGAAAGTAACAGTAATAGTAATAAAACTAATTCTACATATTCAAATTCAGCTTTTAAGGGACAATGAATGCCTTAGTTAAAATTACTAGCTGGATGATAATAGCTACCATTTTTAAAGCAATTCTTATGATCAGTTTAATTGCTGATGTCTACAAGAAAGATGGTATTATTTCCATTTTGCAGGTTGGCAAATATTAGCCGAAAGAAGCAAAGCTACTTTTTCAATAGGAGGGCCATGATTGTAATTCAGGTCTGTCGGTTCTAAGGTACGTCCTCTTTTACTGAAATAGACAGATTTCCCTTCCAATAAACTATCTGAGTGGAAGGCGTTTGTAATTAATTCCTTAATTCCTACTTTTGGTAACTAGTTAAAATGCTTTTGAACATGGCATAATGCTATATTTGGAAGATGAAGTTAAAATATTTATCAGTGATCAGAGGACTAGAATACAAATGAGATCAAAACTCGTTGTTTCTCATGCTTTTAATATCAGGTCATAAACTTTCTTGCTGATAGACTTTATTGAGAAAGAACAAAAATTAAACTCATATTGGACAAAATCTTCTGACTATCCTTTTTTGCATTTTTTCATCCTTCAAAAGTGCATAATTAATTTAGAAGGACATTGCATAAAAGAAAAATAATTATGCCTTAAAGACATAGCTGAATATTAAAAAAGTAACTTATACTGATACAGGACTCTTATATTGAGACTTAAAGAGGTCCAGGCTTTTACATATGAATAAATATATTGTTATTCGGAGGACAAAATTCTGCAAATCTTTAGTCAATACTGGAATATATATATATATATTATATATATATATATATTATACGTAACTTTTTTCTAAAACCCAGGATATATTTTTTGAAGATAATAAAGTGTTTTTGAAGATAATAAAGTGTTTTCATGTGGCATACTACTTTGAAGTCAAATAGCAAATGAGGGTAGTGCATACTGTTAACCTAGTCTCAATGGGTTGGCAACTTAAAATCTCTTTGCTGAGTTTGACTCTCTCTAATATGAAACTGAAGCCTTATGAAATGCAAATGAACTTCAAAATGTTGAACTTTAATCCACAATTTAATCCAAAACTAAACTTGGCTTAGACTATTAGCTTTTAAAACAGAAAGCTTAAGCAATAATACAACAAATAACTTTGCTAAATAGTCTTATCTTACAAAGGCCACTGTGTTCTAGCTATATATATGGCCGTATGCAGTTACACACATAGAACGTGATTCATCATTAACAGGCCTAGGAGAGAAAATATAAACAGCCGTGCCCATATATAATTCTTTACTGATTTACATAAAAATAACTTACTATGACCAATTCAAATTTTCCTTATCATTTTCCCAAAATAAAGCATTGACTGAGTCATTGTATGTGAGATTATTTCTGGCTTGGCTAAACTATGATTTGTGACTAAGACGTCATTATCCTGAGGATTCCTCTTATGTCTCCCTACGGGAAATTATACAATTAAATATCACATAAGAAGCATTGTAATTAAGTTCTCAAATAAATGCCATAGATAAATAGTGCCATTCACAAAAGACTGGCGATCAGATACATTGGTGTTTTCCAAAGGATGAGAGGCATAGCATTGTGTGAGAGTCTATAAGGCAGTACTGGGACGTGGCATTAAATAACATTCAGTGAGAAAGTGATTTCTTTCCAGCTATTTTTTTTTAATTTTACTTACTTCAATGAAGAAGTTTCAAAATTTCAATTTGATGCAACTATGTCATTAATACCTAATTGGTGCTTATCTTTGTCCCCCTACAGGGGAAATGCAAACACAGTTCCCCACAACTACAAATGATGCAGCTGAGTTTCCCACATTTGGGGAAATCACAGGGGCCAGCATATCCAGAGTGCAAATGGATGAGCTCCCCCGCCCCCCTCCCCTGGAGGAAACCATCTTCATAATCCTGGTATGTCCCCTGCCAGGGAAGTATTTGATTTATTTTTTAAACAAGGACAAGCAAGCCTCACACTCAGAGCCTTTGGCCAGAAACAAAATCCAGCTAGAATTTTATTTTATTTTGCTTACATCAAAGTGATTTTATAGCTGCTATTTACGCCATGCAAAATTGGTTTTTCATTTATGATGGTTTCCTTTTCAAACAAATTTAAAAATAGAAAGTGCATCAATTTAAAGAAAATACTAAGTAAGTAATAGTACAGATGGCACACATATCTGGCAACACTCATTAAGTTGTGGGAAATACTGAGGTAGTATCTTGTAGAGAGCCTCTTGGTGATTGTATAGAATTTGAAGGACAAGGGGAAGAAGAAAGGACTGTACACACGAGGAGGACAGGATGAACAAAACACACAGTAAATCTGCCATGGTGGCCAACAACGAGAGAGACCCGCTGGTTAGAATCACAGGTTTATATTCAGTCAGGCAGTCAGTCGTCCATCCCTTGTGCTATGTTTATTGAACTCTTACTTGTCGAACATATGACAGACCCACTTAAAAGCTAGTTGTTTTCTAATTCCTTTAGGATACTTTATGTAAAATACTTGTGATGAGAACAAGTATGGGACAGTGATGTTTATGGGGCTGGGGGCCAGACAAACAGGGTTCAGATTTCATCTTTTAATTTAACCTTGGCCAAGTCCTTTAGTCTTTCTGAACCTGTTTCCTTATTTGTGAAACAGGTATCATAAACACCAACTTTGCCTGGCTTTTGTAAAGGATTATATTAATAAAATAACAGCTAAAATTCATTGTTTACTTTCCAGATGCTGTGTTAAGCTTTATATGCTTTTATCTCTTTTAATCTTCTCAAGAATCCTGTAAGGGTGTAACCTTATTATAACGATTTTACAGATGGGGAAACTGAGGCACAGAGAAGTTAAGTTGCTTACCAAAGGCCACAGTCCAAATAAATGGCTGTGCTATTATTTGAACCTACGCTATCTGATTTCAGAATCATTGTTCATAACCAGTAAGCTAACTTCCTCTTGGCTTTTTTTTTTTTAGGAAGGTGTGTTGCCTTGAAAAGCACAGGCGTGGGCGGAGGTCATTCTCATGTTCAGCCAGTAGTATATCTGAAGAGGCTACTTGGTTATTGTACAATTACTTATATTTTTTCTATAAAAAACTTTCCATACTAAACTAGGATAAACTATGCAAAAAGGGAACATGTATGATAAACTATTTATTACATATAAATGTTATTAACTCTGACTAAATAAACAGCTGATTACTTATAAATGTTTCTCATTCCTGCTGAACAAAAGTCAGATTTCCTATTATAGATCAATAAAAAATGTTAAAAAAAAAAAGTCAGATTTCCCCTTTAGATTCTAAGCCTGTAACATTGTATACGCTGTGGTGGCAGAAGCTCTGGTGTGGAAAGGTATTTTTACCCCTGTCCCTTAATAAGGTTACGTACTGACACTTGTCCATCTCAGTTTGTCTTCTACCTTTCATCTTATTCCACATTCTTTCCCCAGCGTGG